AGGGCAAGAGACGCCGGAAACCAAGTCCCAAAGAGAACAGATATCCAAATCGGTAATCGGGTTTTTTCGCAGAAGTAGGAGGTACAACCTGGGCTTGAAGCACCAGTAACATTGGTGTCATTTAACTTTAGGTGGATTGGTTTAGTCCAGCTGCTTTATTTGGAAATGAAGGAGCAGAAAAAGATGCCGCGACGGGTCTGGCACTGACGTTAATGTGATACTAGCAGGTGGCGCTTGAGGTGGACAACTTGTGCGATTGAAGTTCTTTGAACAGTCCAGGTGGATGGCATCGGTCAACTCCTAGATGAAGAAGTTGATCGCTGTTGAAGATAAGATATCTGTACGGTGAGGTGTGTAACCTCACCCTTCAAATGTGAGCGTGTAGACACAGAGACAACTGGATGTGTAAGTAGTGTGACAAGTGGTGGCTTAGCAGTGAGTGAGGTTTGTGGCATTGAAACAGTCAGAGGCAGATGCCAAAATGCGCTGAACTTCTAGTGAAAATCTGTTCATTGTCATAACCTGATTATTTCTAGAAGTAGAAGAAGAGTGCGTTCGGAGGGAGTCACCAGCGTCGCCGGTGTGACTGTCGACAACAGAAGGTTCCCCAAGTTAGAAGTTTGGGTAAACTGATAAGACTGGACAGCGTTTACTGTGAGAAGGAGCTTACAAAGGGCTTAACAGGAGGGTGCTGTTCGAAGTCATCTCGGGCCAGTTTTTGTGTTGTGATTCAGAAGAGATTATGTTATCGTTTGACGTGATGGCCTTATTCACCTCCGTTCGAAGCGGCCTCACCAAAAAGGAAGTATGAGGAAAACGAGCACCAGTTTTAACGAAGGCATGTCACTAAACTCTTGGAATTGTGCCTCAGAACTTTCTTTCGATTCAACGATCGGGTTTTCGAACAAAAGAACGAAAAATCAATGGGCTCTCCTCTATCTGGCTTAACTGTTATTGTGGTCCCGCCTAGAATCGAGTAACTAGCATTCCGTTTGTGTTGTCCAAAATTGTGGGCTCTAGACGTCGCCGACAAATTTGTAGCAATCAAGCATGTCAGCATGTTAAGTTCATATTTAAGTTCATATTCCCGATGATGCGAGCTTGGCCCATATGAACTTGTGCCCTCTATCAAGGGTTTGCACGGGTACTTGGGACAAACAGTCACGTATTTTCACTGCCAGGTGATGTTTGTGGAAGCGTGTTGAGACAGATCTTTCCGATTGGCCACTGTATACAGCCTCATGGGCATCGCATGGAATATTGAAGACGACTTCTTTTATCCTGCTAATCATAGGCTCGTTTTCCGGACCAAAAGTGCAGGATGTACCCAGCACAGCAACC